CGAACACCACGGAGGGTGATTTCATGAACGCGGGCCAGAATATCTTGAAGACGAGCATCGATAGAGGAACCCTAGGCATTGACGGCGTCCACGGCCGTGTTCGCCAACTCCAACTGCGCTGTCAGGGCTAATGATCACAGAAGCGGGAGAGCCATCAAGATAAAGACAGTAGAAAATCAGAATAAAGGCATCCATGAGGTTCATCTTACCTGCTACCGCGGCATCCGATTCAGCCAGCCGCGCTCGAGCGGCATTGGCCTCTTCTTCGGCCGCATGAAGAATGGCCTGGTAAACCCCGAGGCGAATCTCCAGTTGGCCGTTCTCCCAAGTCACCTCAGAGTAACGGTTCTGAGCCATCCTCCACTCATGAAGGTAGCGCCGGGCGTCATCGCCGTTGTAGGAGTTGGAAGAATCCAACAACGAGTTCGACACAGAAGATGCGGTGTCAGAAGGCCCGTCGGCCCTGGAAAGAGGACGGAGACTGTCATTCACAACAAACATGTAGATGAATCAGAACTGTTCATCATCATAAACAAGAAATGCCAATCTCACCTCATGTGCCGGAGACGCTAGTTCATCGGCATATTCTCTTCCGGGATTCCCAACGCCGCGCGCTTGCCTTGGTTGTCTTCACCGGCCATGAAGAATGATTGGATCTACGAAAGGGAGAAGAAAAACCGCTATAGGGTTTTCAACAGGCTGAGAAGAGTAAAGGAACAGTTGCGGATGGAGATGTGTTCAAGGCAGAAGCCATCGGCTGTTATTTGAAGACATGAAGCGAAGGGATGGACGCCTCGAAACGCGCAAAAGGCAACCGCAATTAATAGGAGGCGGAGCACAACTTCATCAATGTCGAAGAGAATACGACGCCATATGACTAAGGATAGGAGATCGAAAGTCTCTCTTAATGAAGGCCGTGTTTTCAGACCTAAGAAGGATTGAGATCGGGAGTCTAGAATCGGCTATTCTAAAAAATCGGCTCTTTAGCCGAAGCGGACGTGATCAATCGACTATAGTGGTTCTTTAAGCCTCTTGCCTGTTCGAGTACCCCTTGGCCAAAAGGGTTTCGTGATCAAACAAACTCCTCTGAGCCTGTTTCACCATCAGTACCTGATCTTCAAAAATGTAAAAGGGAGACAAGACTCTGGGGAAGACTGAGAATAGGATACCCTTAATGACCAAGAGCAAAGGAGCTAATGTGATCACCTTATGAACTTGTGAACAGACACAATGCAGTCTTTCTTTGGAAAGTTCAAACTGGATCAAGGCATGTTATGTTGTAGAATGATTTATCAGCCGAAGTCTACCAGAATTTTGTGATGAATGTCTTTAAAGATTTGAGTTGCCTTCGGTTGCATGCTCTTGAGAAACATTGAAGCCAATAAACTGAGGATTGCAAGATATTACGATTAAAGGGTCAAGATTAAGCAATTTTCTGAAGGAGACTTAGTCTAAAAAAGAAAATCGCCGATCAGGTCGGGGAACAGCAGGTTCGGCGAAAGGTCACCCAACTGGGAAGGACCTTATCGGATCAAATGTTATGCGCCTGGTAACACTTGTATTTTGGAGATACTGAGAAGAGAAGGAGAATTCGACAGAGCAGTCAAATGGGAAATATTTGAAGGAATATTACCCTAGCATTTGGATTGATACTTAACAACCGATCTGCTCGGTCGTCAGTTCTAATGGCCGATACCGGAAGGGTATCGTCGCTAGCGCAAAAATAAACCCGAAGAGGTGAAAGCCGGTATAATGCGTATCGATTATACAGAGAGAGCGATGCATATGATATGAAGCACAAAACGAAGGAGAAATCGCTCAAGACGAAGAAATTGTTTGCTAAATGTCGCCTATTACAAGTTTTTGGCCGAAAAACACTTAGCCTACTATATCATCGGCCAGGGTGTTGAGGGCCACAGAGTTGGCAGCGCTAAGGAAATCCTCAATCAAGCGCTCATGATCCCCGAAATGCACCGCGTCTAGAAAATCATGAGGAAGAAACCGGAGATTGTGGCCAGAACGGGCCTGTGCAGCAGCCAGCGCCGTGGCAGCACCATGACAGACGCCATGAAGAGCGACCTCCCTGATGGGATTCGGGATGTCATACAGGTGAACCACTAGGACAGCACCTCTGGCGTTGATGAATCCCGCCGCGTGCTCCACAGCCAATTGAAGGCTCTCCAGTTGGGCAGACCAATCTAAAGAATGCAAAGGAGAGATAATCAGAGTCTTGGGGATGAGATTGAAGGAAAGCGAAGATTGCGACAAATGTCTCACCCATGATTCTGGCCTCGGCCCTAGCCAACCTATCCTCCACCGAGTCGTCCTCGGGAGGTGATCGACATGGAATCATGGCCAGAGTCGATTCTGCAAGGGAGAGACACTCGGCGAGACCCTGGCCATAACGGTCAATGGCGGTAAAAAGGTCGTCATTGTCAATCCATCTCCTCTGATAACAGGGAAGCTGGCGACGAGTTGGTGTTGCAGGTAACCTCAAAGGCTGAGCAGAGTCGGCCCTTTGCTCTAGAACAATAGAAGCATCCCGAGTTGCACCTTCTTGGCGGCGAAGACGCTGGCACGAAGATGCAGATCCGGTGGAGACCTCCTCAGCGGACCCCTTGCTGTTCTCCATAATCTCAAACCTACGAAAAGGCAGGAGCTATATTGAGGACGCAGAAGGCTTAAAACGAGGCGAGTTGTTCTTCGATCCACAGCAGTAACCTATATATATAGCCTAGGAAGGCAAGAAGATATATTTCGCCAGGGGTGTGAAATTGAAATCAGAGATGGAAATGGATCGACACTCCAGGAATTCAGGGGACGGATAACGGAAGGGTAACAAATTCGAACTTATCGTTTCCCCAAATTACAAAGCATCGTGGGATGGATACAAAGAATTTACATTGACTAGAGATCAACCCACCAAGGCTTCTTTGGATTGAAGGGAGTCCGGATCCCCATAAGGCCGAGGGTCATCATAAACCAAGTCACATCGGCCCATTGATAAGATTATGCCAGAGAAAGGGAAAAGCCGCCTGCCTAACAAGTACCCAGCTAATTCCTCGGTGACTGGGAGACCGCTGGAAAGAAGCTTGTGGCTTTCTCGATAGGCATTTGATGAAACAAACAAGGGGAAGTGTCCATATATTCTAGCCCTCACAAAACACTAGAACAGCTTTGTGAGCATGGAGAGAAGGCTCAGGTGATATCACAAGAACTCTTAGCACCGTGGAGTGGGGATCGTTAGTTGGTAGATCCGTTCCTGAGAAGGCATGACCTTAACTGTGCGCTATGTCTGAATCGACTGTTTAGCCGATATCGAGCGTTTTCACGAACAGTTCGCATTACGAGATCATTGAAGTAGAGATAAGTTGAAAGATATGCCAGCCCCATGATCTTATTATTATATTACGGCCTGCACGATTCTGCCTCATGCCCCACTGATATTAGTAATGAGTTAGGGTCGTCGAGTCTATCGTCGTTTCTACGGCCTGCATGATTCTGCCTCATGCCCCACTCGTCATGGCGATAGATGAGATCTAACATGTTCATTAGATTTATTTTTATTAAATGGTTAAGTGGTGTTGAATTGTTTCTTTATATAAAAAGGGGTTTGATTACTTATAATCATTGGCTCAGTATAAACCGGTCATCATTAATATCTTATTGCCATTGATTAATATTTGCTTAAATAATATTCATCCGGCTTTTGCTGCGTGTGTCCTTGGCACAGAGATAAAAATTCTGTGTCGACACCAACAATAAAGAGAAGCTGTTTTGCCAAACGGTTCAAAAAACGGTTTTAGCTCCACGAATGAAGCTGCTCCACAGGTGAAGCCACATTTGGAGCTGTTTTGGCCGGAGCCGGAGCTCTACCAAACGGGCCCTTAGTCTACCCTCTACCCCAAGCATAATTTTTCGCAACATATGCAAGTTGGGTTTGGTTTTGTAAGCTTCGTCGCGTAAAACATACAGGTGTAGATGAAATTAAAAATGGATACACGGTTCAAAAGTTAAAGCATTTTGAAATAATTTTTTTGCTTTTCTCTGACATGTGGATCAGCAGTGACGTCACAACCATGAAAAAGCGCGCGAGTGAGGGGAGCCGCGGTTTCACCAGATTCGAAATCGAGTGAATGACCGCTCAAATGGAATTTTGGCTAAATCAGTCATGATTCATGAGTACAAAGGTTCACAAGTTAGGCCTTGTTTAGATCACTCCAAAATTCCAAGTTTTTTCACTCTCTCTCCATCACATCAATTTTTAGCCGCTTGCATGGAGCATTAAATGTAGGTAAAAAAAATAACTAATTGCACAGTTTAGTTGGAAATCACGAGATGAATCTTTTGAACTTAGTTGGTCTACGATTGGACAATATTTACCAAATAAGACGAAAGTGCTACTATTCATCGGGTTGAAATTATCTTCAATCTAAACAAGGCCTTATTATCCTATACCATATGTATGCAACAAATATAAGCTGGCAAGACATATAATTCAACAAAAAAAAAGCAATTGAACTAGTGTCAACCGCTCAAAGGACGCACGTTTATCGGTGCCTATCCCGGCAGGCACATCTACGTGTAGCGCAGGTGCAGTGAATGGCTGCTGCACGGATGCACGGATGCATGGAAAATTCAGGAACTACTACCAGTCTATCCAAAGCCTGTACAGATAAGTAGGCCTTGTTTAGTTTCACCCAAAATCTTAAAAAGTGCTACAGTAGCTATCACATCGAATGTTTGCGGCCTATGTATGGAGCATTAAATGTAGATGAAAAAAAACTAAGTGCATAGTTTGGTGGGAAATTACGAGACGAACGTTTTGAACCTAATTAGTCTATATTTGAACACTAATTGCCAAATAAAAACAAAATGCTATAGTAGCTCCAAATTCTAAATTCCTGAAACTAAATACGCGCTAGATCAGATATAAGAATTGTTTGGACATCGATGCATGGTGGCGTACGGGGTTCACGAAATAAAATAAAAATGGTGGCCTACGGGTCTGCTCTGCGGCGGCCACGCGCCATGGGCGACAGCGATTCGCTGGCGCTGTTGGTGTCGGAGGAGCCGCTGCCGTGCCTGCAGACGGCGAAGACGAGGTCCTTGACGCCGTCGCCGGAGGCGCGGATGTGCGCGAGGATCTTGCCGAACTTGGCTTTTGTCCGTTGCGTGACGGCGATGGACACGTCGTTGGGGAACAGGTCCTTGCGCACGAACGCGCGGTACACGGTGGTCACCAGCACGCCGGCGACGGTGACGGACGCCACCGCGGACAGCCCCACGGCCAGCGCCCGGGTGAGCACGTTGGTCACCGCCGACGCGTACACCGCCGTCGCGATGGCCACGCTCGTCATCGGGAACGTGTACGCCCACCACGCCAGCGAGAAGCGGACGCCCCTGAACATGTTGATACGCACCACCTGTATACGTACGTATGTACACGGCCAGCACGTGCATGTTGTACATATACATCACGTGTGTCAGGAAGAGAAGAGAAGACGATAGATGTACACGTACCAGTGACATGTAGAGGAAGAGGGAGGTGAAGTAGAGGATCTTGGCGGCGTAGTTGAATTCGCCGCAGAGCCTTGCCCAGCCGACGGACGCGACGCTAGGCGCAGCGATGAAGAGGAAGAAGACCGGGTGGAGCTCCTTGGGGAGCTTCGCGTTGGTGGGGAGCCTCTGGTACAGCGTCACGAACAGCACCAAGTAGTGCACCACCCCGACGGCGAAGAAGAAGATGGGCACCTCACGGAGCCCCATCTTGGCCCCCAGCAGCGCGCCGACGAAGTTGCCGACGACGGCGAGGTGGTTGGTCGGGGTGGCCACCTTGGACAGCCGGCGGTCGCCGCCGGACATCCACTGGCCGTAGATCTTGAGGTCGAGGAACAGGATGGGAGCCATGAGGATGTACCAGACGACGTGGTTGATGTCCGTCACCGGGTGCGGCATGCCCTTGACGAGGAAGAGGCAGGCGATCCACGGCGCGAAGAAGAAGTTGACGCGGATCGGGTGGTGGAACTCGCGCCGCACCGCCTAGAAGTAGAAGACGACCTTGTGGAGGTAGATGAAGGAGATGAGCGCCATGAGCGACGTGGAGACCCACCAGAGCGCGTTGTTCACGGCGGGGCTCAGGTGCAGGAACGCCGTCGACGGCTCCGACTGCAGCGTCTTCCACAGCATGGCCTGGCTGCTCACGCCCAGGCACATCCCGAAGGCGTTGATCGGGAACCGGAGCAGGAACGGCCACGTCTCGTCCTGCGGGAGCGCCGACACCTCCGTCGGTCTGAGCGTCTCCAGCTCGGCCCCTTCCAGCGCCGCGAAGTAGCGGTACGCGGTGGGGACCTCGCCGTCGTCGTCGTCGGTCTCCTCCTCGGAGATTATCTTGTTGGAGCTGGAGTCGGCGGCGGGCTCGATGTCCAAGGCCACGCCGCGGAGGTTGGACAGCTGCCGCTCCAGGCGGCCGGAGAAGGTCTTGAAGTGGTCGAAGCGGCGGTCCCGCGTGGTGCTGTCGCTGCACGACACGGTGCTCACCCGCTGCAGCGGCGGGGGTTCTTCCGTCCGGATCGTCAACGCCGGCTGCGAGTGGTACCGCTCCTGGTTCAGCGGCTGCGGCAGCGTCGCCGCCTCCGCCTGCTGGAGCTCCGCCGGCTGTGGCGGCGGCGTCACGCTGCGGACGACGGACGCGCACGCGCCGAGGTGTAGCCCCGACGGCGACGCCGGTACACTGAAGGCGACGGAGTACGGGGTGTCCGTCGACTCCGCCGTCCTGGCGCCAGCAGCAGCCGCCGCGGGGAGAAGCCGTCCTGGCGCGGCGCGACGCCGGCGGTCCGTGACGGCGGAGCAGTCACGTGGCCGCAACCGGAAGGTTCGGCCCTGTTCGTTTGAGCAGCCATAATCAGCCAAACGTTTTTCTCTCTCAATAAATTAAAATAAATTAATAGTAAATATAGGCGGTAGGAATCAGTCCCGCCGAACATACCTTCGTCCCGCGCGCGTTTCCTGATTCATATTTTTTATAATCAAATCAAATCATCAGTACGGATTTTGCTTCCTATTCTACAGGTCTGACGACGAACAATCTGAAGAGTGAACGAATCCTGCACCTGTCGTACACAGAATCCCACTTGTTTTTTCTCCTCGAATACACAAAAGATTTACGTATCATTATAATTAAAAAGAAAAAGTTTAACCTTACACATGACACGCTTCTAATGAACGTCCTAAGAGATTTTACAGTTGTGACTGGACCTTCCTAGCAGACTGTTTCAAACTTTGATATTACATAAAAGTAAGCAACCAAACTAAGTGCAACGCAGTAACCAACGGAGCTGGACGTCTCCGCTACTGGCCGCGCGACCCTTCTCCATCATCCGAGAAGAGTCTTCTACCAGTCCTATCATTGGTCGCCGAACAGCGTGTCCAGTGCTTCGACGGTGCAAAGCCCATCCTCTACATGAGGAGCACCTCGCCCCGCTTGGAGGTCGAATGTGCGCTAGCGGCTGAGCGGCAATCCGTCTGCTCCGTTTTGGCAGGGGTTGCCTTGTGGTTGCCACCTTCTGCCTTGGTGGGCTGGGAATTAATTGCGACATTCGCTTGAGCTTCACCTCCTCAGTGAACTGTGCGAGACGCCGGGCAGCTTCGCGTGGTGTGGGCGTCGCGTCGCTAGGGGTGGTGCAACCATCTGCGACGCCGGGTGCCCCCGCTCGCGGTGGCTTGAGCTGTGGCGGCCCCTGCACAGACGATATCTGAGACAAGTCTGTCGTCCACTGAGCAGCCGTCGCCGGGGAACAGGTGTCCGCCACTGGTGCTTCAACCTCCAGAGGGGCTGTCGTAGCAGGCAGACAATTAGGTGTTGCTGCTCTCATTTGCCGGCTCACGACGAGCGAGGCGACAAGCTCCTCCAACATCGGGTCAAACGAGTCGACCCATGCGGGAGGTCCCGCTTCGCACACAACGCCAATGCCAGCGCATCTGGCTCAAGGAAGCAAAGTGTAGTAGCAAAAGAAGCGGCGTTGTCGGCAAGCGCGCCCCTGCTGATGTCCCTCGCCGGCTTACTCCGGCGGCGGCGGTGGCGGCGGCGGCGTCGGCAGGTGCTGTTGGCGCCCTCCATGGCCCCATGCGCGGCCCCATCCAAGCTCGGTGAATCACCGTGTGGCGCCTGGGAGGCCGGAGCGTCGCCATGAGCAGAGTGCCATGGCAGGTTGGCATCCGTCGTCGCCAACTTCGTAGACCTGTGCCGCTTGTAGTCCCTGGCGAGGTGGCGATAGCCGTGGCAGCGCAGGCTACGTTGTGGCAACTGGCAAGTTGCGACGTGGTGCGAGTAGGAGAGGCAGTTAAAGCACCTGTCGCGAAGCTCTGGGGGATCCTTTTGTTGATCGACGTAGTACGTATGATCCACTGCTGAACATCCGGTGGACGGAATGATAATATTTCACGGATATTTCACATTTTCTACCTTGCGTGCGTACTCGTACGTATGATGATCCGTCATCAGTTGGTGTTTCTTCGAGTCCCGGCGGTTAAGGGAATGGAGAGGAGAGGGTGGCGCCGCGCCACTGTGTGGCTCCGCTGACGCGTAGGCGTACGCGCTTGTTTGGTTCAAGCCTGGAGTAAATTTGCCGGTCCCAACCTTGCCTGTACTTGCATGTGATGCGTTTGGTTGATGTCCTGGATGTTGCCTGTACCAGGCAAGTGCGCATCGCCCCCGGCAAGAAAAATCGAGCGCCTGGCATAAGCGCCCAGCCGCATATGTTGCCTGACGTATACTTTTGATTAGTTTATTTATTCACCGTCGGAAAGAACCATGCCAAACTCGTTAGCTTTTGTACCAAATTTCTTATTATATGCTAGCTTGAGCAGTGCCTAATCGATCTTGGCTAAAAGTAGGTGCCATAACCATTGTGGTTTTCTCAAGCAGCGTAGTTTCTTTCTCATTTGCTTTTCTTTTTTCCCTTGTCCTTCTGTGCATTCGTGCATCCAGCGGGAATTTGTAATAGGGGCATGTTTGGAACGTAGGAATTTTACAGGAATTGCGCAGGAATTTCACAGGAATTAATTCATTTTTACTGGAAAAACACAGGAATAGAAAAGAATTCCCGCATTCCAAACAGAGAATATTGTACGTTCATGATATTGCAACATGCAAGCCCACTTGTACAAACTTGTCATCCTCTATGATTTATACTCATTTCTTTTGTATACGTAGATCGCACTCGCAATCATATTTGTTCCACCAACTGTTGTCGCCGATTTGGGTCATATACCAGCAGAGACTAGATCGCGTGAGGCCGCATACGGCCTAAGACACAACGAAGGGAGATCCCAACGATGAGGCCTAACATAATTTTTTTCCTGAGGGTATTCATCCATAATTCAAAAAAGAGGGTGTACATCCATGAAAATTAGTACAATCAAATGTGCAATTCCTTTCCTTTTTTTTTAAAAAACAAATATTTCTTTTCGTTCTACAAACCTAATTGTTTCATCATCCAAGCACATAGTAGGTACCCCGTCCGTTTCAAATTATACAAACTATAAGTTATTATGACTTTTTTAATTACATAGCTTTTACTATATATATCTAGATATAATATATACCTAGACGTGTAATAAAAACTATGGACCTAGAAACCTAAATAACTTATATTTTGAAACAGAGCGAGTATCATAGTGGTACTACGAGGAGTAGCGGTTTACCATAAACTACTCGTGTCCAACAGGCTAGAAAAAAAGTATGTTACGTTTACTCGCTCTTGTCTCGATAGTGCACTTGACTGATAATATCTACAAAGCTATGCTAAGGGGGCAAGGCCACTAGGAGGGTTGAGGCCGCACGCACGCCTTTCGCCGAAAGGTCGTTGGGCCATAGGGTGGTGGTGGGTGGATTTTTTAATTTAATTTAACCTTTTTCTAAAAAAAATACATTTATATTTTTGGATGAGCTTATTCTGAACATAGACCCTAGGGGTCGACGCTGAGGTAACATAGCTCGACGCCACATCTTTTGGTGCCAACCCTAGAGGTACAACGGGCGTGGAGTTTCAACGTGCAACCTATGTGGCAAGAGCTTGGCGCTGTGTTCCATGGCGCCGACCTCGGCACCTCTGTTGTTGGCGTCCACCTCGACACCATAGATCTTGACGCTGAGGTGGGGGTTTATCTCGTACGCGCACGCCCCTCAGTGATGGAAAAGTTCTAAAAAAAACTTAAATCGTTTTTGAAATGCTAGATGCCTCGTTATAAAATCAAATGGAGGAATAGGTCCGTACTTGTCACGTATATTCTGATATGACCGCGACACTATTGATTGTACGTGTGTACTGTAAGAATAGAAGTTAATGATCAGAGAGATTCAGAGCATATTTACGTACGTCGTCACGAGATATTAACTAGCGCATGTATATGCACCTCTCCTACATAATATACAGTCAATATAGCATGACGAATGGATGGCTACACAACGTACAGAATCAAATCCCGTTGAAGCAGCTAGCAAACCTGCTGTGTTACTGTCGTCTGCAACAGAGAAATTATTTGAAGAAAAAGCAGAAAGCAAAGTGCGACCGCAAGATAAGAAAACAAACATGGGAAAGCACCACACAGTCGCCGTTGCACTTTGCATTCTTTTTCTTGAAGAGAAGAAAGCAAAGAGAAGAAACCCCTCTCGGGCGACCGGCCGGTCGCCATCGCTATTGCCTATTGACTATCCTGTCATCGACGTCAACACGAGACTAGCTTGGAGATGGAATTGAAGGAGCAAGGCAAGACGTGCTGGAATGAAGAAGCAACACAGAGACCAAAGACTAATGACTAGGAGAGTGAGAGTAGTCCCTGTACCCGGCCTGTATATATATAATATGCATGTGGTTTGTTGACAATGCATGCATGGGCGGTGATACATAAAGCACTGTGTTATTTGCTCTGAGTAAAAATATGCTTGGCTAACTTAGGGCTCCCTCGATAGGTCTAAGTCTAGAGCTACTACTTGCCAGTTTATTCTTGATTTCTTTCTCTCCTACTCGATCATTTATCTTTGTATATATCTCATGGATTTTCTCATTTTCTCGATCATGAGAAATAACCTGGCTATTTGCTCATCGCTACCTAACGTCCTCTCTCTCTCGTTCACGTCACACGCAGCTGCGAGCAGCCAACAGATGAAGGCTACATGTAGGTTCGCGGGCTAGCCTCTGCTTGCATTCCTATCCTTAGAGCAGCTCCAGTGTATACGAGGAACGAACCAAGGAAAGAGAGAAACACATGAAAGTTCGATCTCCAATCGGGTGCCAAAAGATTCTTTGGTTCGACGTTTACTTAACTTTAGGCGGTGTTTGGTTGTCCCTTCTTAATTTTAGTTACTGTCCTATTAAATGTTTGGACACATGTATGAAGTATTAAATATAGACTAATTACGAAACTAATTGCATAGTTTGTGACTAATTTGCGAGACGAATCTTTTAAGCCTAATCAGTCCATGATTTGACAATGTGGTGCTACAGTAAACATGTGCTAATGACGAATTAATTAGGCTTAAAAAATTCGTCTCATAAAGTACAAACGGATTATATAATTTGTTTTTTTATTATTATCTGAACACCCTATGCAATATCCTCCTCACATATCTCCTAAATTTTAGTAATTGATACAAACACCACCTTACACTGAAGCTGTGTTCCGTTGGCTTGCAAGCAAATTAGATGGTGCCTCCGTGACCTGACACATACGGCTTGGTTGGACGTGACACTGGAGTTGCCTTTAGGACGCACATTTGATGGGAGAGACCGCGACAGGTTGCAGGAAGATGGAGGTACGCATCCGGGAGAGAACAGACCCGGCCCGCTTATCGATGTTTATCACCGATAGCCTACCACGGAAATACCTAGGGCAGTTTGTTCGGGCTTCAGCGTATGTGGAACTCGACGGTTAACGCAAGAGACAGTCGATTTATCCTGGTTCGGACCCTCGATCGTTGATCGAGTAATAGCCCTATGTCCAGTCAGCGTTAGCCTTTGCGTTGGATTGATCGTCAAGTGTTGTGTTCTCAAGTTTTTTGTCTCTAGGAACCCTGTCCTCCTTTATATAGTCAGGAGGTCAGAGTCCTCGTCGGTTTACAATGAGAGTTCCTAGTAGGATTACCAAATAATACTACTACTAAGATTACATGAGAAGAATCCTAGTTAGACTAGATATTCTCCCTTCCTTGCGGGGTATCCCGTGGGTCCCGCACCGACAAGCCCCCCAAGCACTTCATGGTTGAGCTCTAGAAGCCTCGTCTTGTTCCTTCAAGCCTTGCCGAGCAGGAACAAACGTCGTCCGAGTGCTTTCTTGAGCGAAACCGTGTAGCGCTTCGTGAGATCTTCGCGTGATGTGTATCTTTTTGACGAAAAAAGTACTTCCATTTGGGTGTAGCCCCCGAGCCTCTTGCTTTTTGGCACAAGGAGCTGGAGGGTCTACTCTTGAAATCGGTCTAGTTCTTCGTCGAAAGGCTCCTTAGCATATACCCGGTTTTTGTCAAAAAGAGCTCGGATATAGCTAGATTCGGATTCTTTTTGTCGTGAGGTCTTGAAGTGGTCTGTCTTGAAGAAGTCTTCTTGGTGACGTGCGCTTTTTAGGAGAAAAAAGTGCACTCACTGAGTGTAGTCTCCGAGCCTCTTGCTATTTGGAACAAAAAGTTGGAGGGTCTTGAATCTTATGTTGTTTGAAAACTGCTGTCTTGAAGAAGTCTTCTGAGTGATGTGCGTTTTTTTGAAAAAAGTGCACTTACTAAGTGTAGCCCCCGAGCCTCTTGCTATTTGAAACAAAGAGTTGGAGGGTCCTGAATCTGAGTCGTTCAAAGAACTAAAAACCTCTCCTGTTGCAGCACCCGAGCATATACCTGGGTTCTTTTATTCGAAAAGAACTCGGATACATGATCTTGGCATGTCCTCTGGTAGTCTACTGTTGTCAGATGTAGTTGTATGGTGGTGGTTGAGAGTAAATGATGTTTGTTCACGAGTTGTATAGTGTTGGTATTTTCTTCCGAATATGCTCGTTTCTGAGTACTGTTCCTTCATGCCTGAGTCCTCTTTCATTGAATTTTGTCTTCTCACTGTGTCCTTTGTCCCCTCCCGGTCCATGTGCACCGCTTCTTTGGCCTATAAATACCCTCCTTGTGTGCCATTTTAATTCATCGAGCATTTTGTTGCGTGGTCTGAAATCTGCGTAGTCATGAATATGATAGTTTGTGAAGTAGAGCAGCCCCTGGGTGTATTTTGTAGTTCTTGTTTATCTTGTCGTAGCTGGAGGGAGTCTTGTGATAGGGATTAGAGGTAGACTAATCCCGCAGCGGCATTGTACCGGGAAGTACATGGCGGTAGTTGGAGGAAGTCTTGTGATGTGAGATATGTTCTTTCATCCAGCAGTTTTGGGTTGATCCTCGTCGCCTGCCCTGAGACTGTCCGGTGCAGATCAACACCATATCCAGCATTACATCGGACTTGGGTAGACAGATGCCTGTAGGCTTCTCCTGGTCCATGTTGTCCCGCCATGCTGCTGATTTCCACCTTGGATGTGCTGCGTTCTTCCTTTGAAGAAAATAGTGTAGCCGAGCGCGGTTGGTTCTACCGAGTAGCAATTTGGAACACGTAGTCGTTCCTGAGCCTAGTTGTGTTCGGGTTCCTCTTTGCTACCTTGCTTGTCGTAGTACCGAGTTCGTTGGGTCTTGTAAGATGTGTAATCTTGTATTTTTTGAAGCCGTTTATAATAAAAAGAATCTTGTCCTCTGAGTTGTTATTTTCTTTTCTGCTGATGTCCTGGTTGTTTATGAGTAAGGCTGGATAACGAGCTGGCTCGGCTCGTTCTGGCTCGTTAAGATAACGAGCTACCTCGGCTCGGCTCGTTGTCCTAACGAGCCAGAAAGCTAGCTCGGCTCATCTCGTTAAAAGCTCGAGCTGGCTCGTTAAGCTCGCGAGTCAGGTATAAAAAATACACAAAATATAATATTTGCATTTATCTAAAGTTTGAGAATAATAATAATATAAAAGAAATACATCTAGACTAGTTACCAGTCAATTTATAGGGTCTAGACCAGTTATCAGGCAATTGTAAAGTGCAAAACATGAAGTAATACAAAAACTAATATAAGTTTTGATATTTTTTTCCCTGGAAGCTTGGCTCGTTTAGCTCGCGAGCGGCTCGCGAGCTGGCTCGAGTTGGCTCGTTATAGCTAACGAGCTAAAATCTTGGCTCAACTCGGCTCGTTATCATAACGAGCCGAGCTGAGCCGAGTCGAGCCAGCCACGAGCCGAGCAAGCTAACGAGCTTTGAGTTTTTCGTCCAGCCTTATTTATGAGACTCCTGAGTTCTTTATATAAGAACCGAGTTCTTGTGTTCCTTGTGAGTTAACCCTCCGTTGCTTCATGGTTGATGAGTTCTTTTTGTAGTAATATGATAACTCTGCCGTGGTGCTGGATGGATAAGTTTGAAAACTGTCTGTTGAACTGTACCTTTGTGTGGAATTATGCCATCCGTCATTTCAGCTGTGTTAGTTGTGGTGAGTAATGGACCATTGCGTTCTCATGCCATGTTTAAACGGGCCTAGTGGGCCGCGTTTTTACTGCTGTAAAATCTATTTAAAGACCTTTCTTCTACTTTTTCTTTACTACCCTGTTTTTCCCTTGAAACCCTAGTCTTCAAAATTCCGCCGCTGCCATTGTCGCCGTCATCTAAGCGCCGCCGTCTGAATCATCCTTGTTTCTTAGTTCTTTATTGCTTCCGCTAGTATATGAGTAGGAAGAAATTAGCGAGTAAGTCCTAGACAACTTTTGTCGACGAGGAGGCATCACTTTCTGTGATTGAGAATCAAGAATTCATGGCCATGACGGCTACTCAGAAGGTCTGGCCGACTCCGACTACAACTGAGGATCAGTTGCGTAAGCTTGTTAGCGATGGTCTGATCCAGAGCAAAGATATTGCTGAATGGAAAACTCCGGCGAGCATCGGGTCCCAACTCCAGGTCCTGGTGAGATTGTTCTTTTTGTCTCCTTTATCTGTGCTGGACTCTGCCTTCCTGCTTCTGCCTTTCTTCATCGATTTCTCGGTTATTTTGGGATTAGCTTGAACCATCTTGCTCCCAATGCTGTCCTCCATCTTTTTGTTTTTGTTCATCTTTGTGAAACTTTTCTTGGAATTCTTCCTTCTCTCTCTCTCCGTTACTTCTTTTGTCTAAAGCCCCATCCCCGCCGCGATGACACCCATGTTCTTGGTGGCTATGGGATTCAGTTTCGCCAAGGTCTTAAGAGTAAATTCTTTGATTATGACTTGGTTGATTCTGTGAGGGATTGACGTGCCAACTGGTTTAATGCCGCCAATATGATTCCTCCTCTTGCTGTTCATTCTAGATCTGGTCCCATGGTTAATGGCCGATGGGAAAAGAATCCCCTGACTGCGGCTGAGCTCCAGGCGATCAAGCCATTTCTTGAGAGGACATGTACTCTGAAACAACAAGGCTTGACCGGCTTTGGGATTATTTCTAGTTTTCTTCGCCGCCGTGTTCAGCCTCTGAAGGAGCGGGAGAATTTTGGGTTTAAGTACTCTAGGGTGGAGGACCCTTCTTGTATGGTCCCTGCCCTTGAGTTGACTGATGAGGAGGTGCTCGAGCGTCTTTGGAAGATGCTAAAGGAGTAAGCGTCGTCCCGCTTGCTGTCCTT